GGTAGTTACTTGGTAATTAAAGAGAAGTTCCTGGCTCTCCCTTCTGAGCTCAGGGCCAGCCTCTAGAGAGCTCTAGGGCATTGGATTCTCACTCTTTAGGCCTCTATTCTAGAAAAGATTGGAACCCTCAGCCCTTGAGTGAGGTCTGGAAAGTAGCCTGGATGCTTTGCACTGTAGTAAGGGACCAGAAGGGACAGTGGGGTTCCCCAGAAGCCATGTGGTTACGTGTATCCATACTATGCCTGCTAGTGGGTAGACATGTTTTGTTTTGTGATGCTATTGTTTTTTGAGACTCACTCTATAGCCCAGGCATTCCTTGAGCTCCTCCTCCCTCAGCCTCCCAAGTTCTAGGATTACATAGATGCCACCGTGCTTAGCTAAAGCAGGCTTTCTTTCTGCGGTGACAATGAAATATTCCAGAGTTAAATCACTTAGAGTTTTGCACAACTTGTCCAAATAGCACTAACTTGTGAACTGTACATTTGACAAAAGGTGCTCTGTAGTCTCTGAGCTATACCTTGAGAAAAATCCAAGCACCCTGGAAATAAGCCTGCCCCGCCTTTTCCCATACCCATATGAACTTGGGGTAAACGGGGCAGCAGTGGCACGGGCAGAAAGGCACTGATGTGGAACTGGTCTGTAGAGTTCATCCCTTCCTATAGAAAATGGAGCCTTAAGCCTTGGTAGCCTCATTGAGAAGCTGAGTCAGGAACTGATGGGAGACATTTGGGCTGGGTCCTCCCCACTCCAACCACAGCAACCCCGCTTGTATGTCACTCATTGACTGGATTCCACCTTGAGAAGATTTGTAGTAGTGTCTTCTATTTAAAGCTTTTAAAGATGTGTTCTAACTTAATCGTGCACGGATCTCTATGAAGTATCTCATCGTTAATTTCAATACAACTTGCTTCTCATTCTTTCTGCTGAGTTCTAAGTCTCCAAGAAGGAGCCTCATCCAAGGGTCTCATGCTTTGTTTTTCCCCAACCTTTCCTTGGATCTCAGTCCAAACTTGCACAATGCCCTGGCTGGAACGTTTATATACTGTTATTTTCCATTGATTTATGAGCGTGGAGATTTATGGAATGTTCCTTCATAGGGTTCTTGGTTAACATATGACATCTATTTGGAAAGAAGTCTAGCACATAGCTTTACACCAGCACTAGCTGTCATGGTTGGGATACTGTTCTAAGCTTTGTTTCTTAGGCTCCAGTGGTTTGGCTGAGTTTGGTTTAAAGATCTCTCCACCTTTTTCACAATCATCAGTTCCATATCCTCTCCATCACTCTCCCCCACTTTACGCTTCCTCTCTTTCTTGAAATATTTACGGTTACAATTGATCACAACCCTAACTTTGCAGTATTATCAAAATTGATCTGCTTCCACCTAAAAACCACCTGTTACTTCTCTTCTTTTATCCATTAACTCACTTCCATCGAGTACCTACCCTCAAAACCAATGTGTTTGGCGTGTACCTACCCACAACACACCAATGTGTTTGACATGTACCTACCCACAAAACACCAATGTGTTTGACGTGTACCTACCCACAACACACCAATGTGTTTGACATGTACCTACCCACAAAACACCAATGTGTTTGACATGTACCTACTCACAAAACACCAATGTGTTTGACATATAGCACTGGAGTGGGAAATGCTCTCACAAAAGGTGTATTATTATCCATATGCATTTGTTTCTTAAAACATTTTAGATTTTATTTTATATGTGTGTTGCCTGCATGTGTGCTTGTGCACCATGTGCATGCCTAGTGCCTGCAGAAGTCTAAAGGGTGTCAGCTTCCTTGGAACTGGAGTTATGATGGTTGTGAACCACCATATGGGTACTGGGAACTGAACCAGATCCTATGCAAGAGCAGCAAGTGTTCTTAACCACTGAGCCTATCTTCCCAGCCCCCATCCATGTACAACTTTTATTCAATGTGGTTTTTGTGTCACGTGTTGTATTTTCCTTTAGAAATACCAGTGGGCCTTTTCTTCTACTTCTGTTTCCCTTCATTGTGTTCACGTTTTCTCTTTCTTTCTGTTTGCTTCGTAGTTTTTGAATTGACCCTGGCCATTGAACTTTGGTGTTCAACTGAACGTTGTTTTATTCAATAAAGGTCTTTGCTGTGGTACGCCAATAAGGTTTTGCATATTAATTTGAGCTTTTGGAGGTTTTTTTTTAGCTTTGTTTTGATGGGTCCCAAACAGTCTTTAGGTCTTTAGTTTTAGCTCATGCTGCTTTGCCACCCTTCTGAGCATGCTCCTAAACACCCTGTGTAACGTGAGGCTTCTATTTTGTCGCTTCTTCTGGTCTTCTGGAACTTTGTTCCCATACTGAACTGACACCTCTGCAGAACTTGAGAGAGCTCTCTTCAGCTCTTTCCTTCTTCTGTCCTATGCTACTCTATGAGTTCTAGCCCCCCTCTCCTCCGTGAACTGCAGTCTCACCTCTTGAACTCAGAGAGGCTGCTGGAGGCCCCCTGCTTGGGTCCCTCCTCCCTCTCCTATGGTCCGGAAGCTGCCTGTAGGATGTGTCTCAGTTGAGATGATCTGATTATTTTTATGATTGAGTTAAATTATTATATTCGGGGCGGGAAGACTGAAAGGGTAGAGTACCAAATCATCACATCCACCAGGGACCATGTCATCAGTGAAGGTAGAGTACCACATCATCACATCCACCAGGGGACCATGTCACCAGTGGGTAGAGTACCACGCATCCACTAGGGACCATGTCACCAGTGAAGGTAGAGTACCGCGTCATCACATCCACCAGGGACCATGTCACCGGTGCTGTTTATCATTGTTGATACCTGGCCAGGGCGGGTTGCCCTTCGCTACTATGAGGTGGCAGGGGTAGGAATACATTTTTCCGGTCCTTGTTTTGCACAAACTGGAATCTAATATGGAGCTATGTTAGGCCTCGTTATAGTGTCTTTTCTGTCTCATTTAATCTAGAGAAGATTTGTTTTTGAATATGTGGCCTTTTGAATGAAGGACACTGTCCTACCTTTGTATCCAGCCGAGGGCTTCATTGTCCTGTTGGTCTTCTCATGCCTCTGTTCCTTGCTTTGTCATCAGAAGTTAGATGTAAAGAAGTAAAGTGTCATATTAACCATGTTTGTTGAGGGGCTGTTCCTTTTCTGGTGCTGGTCATCAAATCTATAGCTATGTGCATGCTAGGCAGGCATTCTGCCCGAGCTACGGCTGTGGGGTGAGAAGAGGCAGCTCCTTTGCAAGCAGACTTCTCATTTTCTACACTCACAGCAGGAGCCAGAGTTCCTGTCCTTTCTCTGTTGGTCCAGATGACTGATGTCTGTGAGGACAGAGGGGACAGACACAAGGGTGCTCACTGTGAAGGTGTCTCTTTCACCATTTAAGATTTTCCTCAAGGAACCAAATGGAGTAGCCTTGGATCCATGGGAATTACTCAACACCATCCTTTTACATGGGCTACTATTTGTGCCGAACACATAATCGATGTGATGTAACTTCCGTTCTCTGTTCTCAGTCTTAGAAGGTGATACCCTTGAGTTCGTGTTCTGTTTTCCCATAAATAGTGTCCACCTGTATTTCTTGAACAGCAGATGGATCTCAATGACCATGATTTAGTTTGAAATTGCCCGTCTTCTTATCAAAAAATAAAAGTGGGGGCTGGCTCAGGTTTAAGAGCACCTGCTGCTCTTGCAGGGTTTCATTCTTAACCCAACATGTCAAACCATAATCAATTGTAACTCCAGTTCCAGGGGATCCAGAGTATCCTTCTAGCCCCCTTGGGGACCAGGCACACACATGCTGAACATACATACATACATGCAAGTAAACAATGGTACACATAAACTTTTTTAAAATTTAAGTTTGAAAAAAAAATTATGTGGGAAGCTGGAGAGATGGTGCCATCGTTAAAAATACTTCCTGTACATCCCTGAGGACTAGAGCGTGCCTTCCAGTGCCCACATTAGAACCCGGATGTGTCCTGGAATTGAGCAAGATTAAGAGAGAAGGGTCACTGCGGCTCGCTACTTTCCAGTCTTGCCGAGAAAACATGATCCCAGGGTTCAGGGAGATACCCTGCCTCAGAATAGGCAGAGAGTGACAGAAGGGGACACTTGTCACCCTTTCTAGCCTCCACACATGTACAGACGTGTATATGCTAACACATGAACACATAAACCTACACACATACAGATGTATGCCACACACTCAAATAAGTAAATAAGAAAATAAAAAAAATGTCATTTAGGTAGGACGTGATCCTAATATAAAGCTAGAAGGCTATAGTATTAACATAAAAAATGGATTACATGCCTATACGTGTAACAGATACCTTAAAGAGTTAAGCACACTGTAGTCTCGATTGCTCAGAAGGATCACTTGAGCCCAGGAGTTGGTAGCCAGTCAGAGGACAGACTCGGTGACAACAAAGCAAACAATGAAACAAACAAAAACCCAAGCAAAGCAACAAAATAACAAAAATGTTACCCAAAAATCTAGCATAAATGAGGAAACAAACATACATCGGTGGAAGAGAATATTGAATGATGACCTTATGATACTGTTATCTGAAAGGTCAAAGCGTTGCCATCATGGTGTTTATAAAGGACAGCTGACTATATGAGAGGGGGAGCTGGGAGTCATATTTTTATCATTTGAAAACTGAAAGCATCCAGACAGAAATGAAAAGGTGGCAGAGGTCATCACATTTAAATGTAATCACTTTGACTGCATAGAAGCGTTGATCATAGCTCTCAGCATCAGGCACGGAGTGTGCTGTAATATACTTTGGGAACTCTGAAATCCCTTCCTAACTGAAACTCTGTCTTTGCCCAATTGCCATGGTCTGAGTATGAAGACATGTGTGCATATGCACACAAAATGCCCACAAAGGTCTCTCTTCCATGAGATTCAATCCCCACAAATATGTCACTGAAGGAGTCACCCGAATGTCATGTCAGATTGAGAGGTGCCAAAACTGATAGTCAGTAGACAACTTGTTCACAAGCTGAAGGCAATTTATTTAACAGGAAGAAAATGAGTCTGTTTTCTTCCCGGTGCTAGGAATGAAGAAATACAAGAGAAGTATCTGATGGAAGCCTCACTTTGAGGTTATTTGTAATCTGGCCAACAAGATAAGATAGAGATGTCAAATTACAGAGCGCTTAATCTAGTGCTAAAATGTGTAGGTGATTGGAATTGTGTTGCCAGCTTAAGTAGGAGGCTAACGTGACCTAGAGCAGTCAGAGAAACTTCAAAGGTGCAGGTACACTGAGATCACAGGTGGCTGGAATGCCCGGTGAAGTAGCAAGGGTGGAGCTCGCAGTTAGAGCAAGGAAGGGATTAGAGAACCATGAGCCCGAGTCCTGACCCGACTCCTCTTCCTGATTTCACCTCTCCAGCTTCAGGTGTGTCGCCTTGCGTGCCATGCTCCATGTACACAACCCTTCTTGCCAGCATAGTGGCTCCCAGCTATAATCAGCAGTTAGGAGGCTGAAGCAGGAGAATATCTAGAGGCGAAAGGCTAGCCTGGGTTATAAAGTGAGATTGTGCTTCAAAAAACAACTTCCCTACCCCAACCAAAAGAAAAGAAAAAAGAAGGCAGCTCCGAAGCTTAGTGGTAGAACACTTGTGTAGTATGGGTAAAGCCCCAGGTTCAATCCCTAACCCACAGGAAGAAGAGGAAGAAGTCTTTGTCCAGGAGGAGGACAGCCCTGGGTTTGTCTCCGGCGTGATTGGATTTGGTGACAGAAACCTGTAAGCCTAAGACCAGCCTAAAGAGTCTAAACTAAAATCTGTAGGCAATAAGAGATCCAGACTGTAGTGTGAGCCTTTCTTAGATGACAACAGTATGTGTGCTAAGCCTTTACAAACATTTGGTATTTAACTCAAGGAGAGGAAGAGAAACTTTTCGCGTCCCTCTCTGGCTTCATTCTGTCCCGCTGCGATAACGTAGCCCTTCTCAGTCCTCTCACAGGTCCTGATAAGTCAAGCGAGAGTAGATCAGTATAAGTCCACCACTGTGCTCTAGAGCCTGGCGAGTTTGGTGCCAGGGTATACACAGCCATTATGACAATGTGTGCTGAAGTCAGAAATCATTAGCACAGGCATCATCCACCCACCCACCCACCCATTCACCCATCCACCCATCCATCCACCCATCCACCCATCCATCCATCCACCTATCCATCCATCCATCCATTCATCCATCCATCCACCCACCCATCCACCCATCCATCCATCCATGCAGCAAGTATCCGCACGTTAGGCCTTGCCCTGTATTATTAATGGCTGTGCAATAGTAAAGATGAGTAACATACTCTTTGCCCTTAGGAAGGCAGACTCATAAATAAACAATTACGAACCATGGGTTAGGGTGGGAAAAGGCCTATCAGGCCACAGCTATCAGGAGCTGGCGCCAGCATTGACACATTGAGGGGCCCTGGTCAGAGCAGAAAAGGGAGTAGGCTGCTTTCTGCTCCCTGCCTGCTGCCCTGCCTTGGCATGCTCTCTTGCTGCTGTGAGTGGCATCCGCCTTCCTGACCACACTTTTAGCATAAGTGTGCCCACACAGAGCTCCATTCTTGCCACATTTCTATCTCATGTTCTTCTCTGAAGGTGTCCTGTGTAACCCCCCGCCTTCTACACACTTATTGGGACTGCCCACTGCTGCCCTAGTTTATTTTGGCTGTGTTCAGATATGCTACTCAAGGGAGAATTCAAGACTTCCTTTTGGGCTTCTCTCCTCCCCAAACAAGGTCACCTCCAGAGGTGTACCCCTTCCCTGACCTAGAGAGGCGTGTATCAAACTACTAAGGAGCCTAGCCAGGACTGCCGACTCAGACCTGTAATCTCAGGTACTTCAGAGACTGAAGCAGGGAGATCACAGGTTCAAGGCTTGCCTGAACTAAAGAGTGAGTTCAAGGTCAACTTGAGTAACTTAACAAGACACTGCCTCAAGATTTAAAACAAGCCTGACTGTAGCTCCGTAATAAAATACTCACCTAACAAAAGCGAGACCTTGAGTTCAATCCTCAGTACCACAAAACATTAAGAACATTGGGGTTGGGGAGAAAGTGGAAATTGGTATTGGTATGTAAAATGAAAAAAGATAGTTTGTTTTTTTAAAAAAAAAATAATAAAAAGAGGGTTGGGGTTGGTGACACATATCCATAAACTCAAAGCTAGCCTGGGCTATGTGATGAGATCCTGTCTAAAGAAAGAAAATGTAAACTAAAACTATTTTTAAATTACATATTCAGATTTTAAAAATATTTCGTTTTTTTCACTCAGTCATTTGGCTTCTTAGAGTCAGTCCCAAGGAATAAGAAGGGATTGATCTGCAAATATATCCATCACTATTATTTATAATAGGAAAAATACTGGAAGTCCACTAAATTTCAGAGAATAGGCACCACTAGACATAGAATATAGAAACGCGGCAGATATAAAACAGCATGGGGAGATGTGCGGAACACTTGATTGTTTGAGCTGAGCATGCTACCAATGGGGAGGCTTGGAACTGAGCTCAAGTGTGGCAGGGAAGCCACAGTTGGAGTGAGAGCCTGTGTCTGGCGAGCTGTGTGACTTCTGGTCGAGGTTACTCATCCTTCTTCGTCTCTGTCATCAGAATGGAAATAATAATAATAGCAGATCCTAACCAGAGCTCTCTTGAGAACAGAGGCACTGAAACAGGCAGCCCAGAGCCTTACTGCTGGATACTAGCAATTATTAGTCTTGAGCTAGGCAGGTCAACACCGCTGGGCACCAGGGGGCAGCTATCCTCGGAGTAATTAGTGATGAGCTGGGAGCTGGGGTGAGGGGTTCCTCACTTGAAAGAGCACAGAATGAGGGCTGCAGCAGAAAACAAGAAAAGAAGTAGGCTGGCCAAGGAAACGGACACCCCTGGGGAATAAAGACAACATTCTACCTCTTTCCAGGAATTCTTCTTACCAGGGACACACTCACTTTTCTAAGCTTGTGTCACAAGTTGTCCTCCTTTTCCTAGAGAGCTTTCTGACATAATAGCGCCAAGAATAAAGGGAATTCCAAGCGTACAAACCTTTGCCTGACAATCCGATGGTCTCAGCAATAATCCTCACGACAGGAAGAAACTTTTGTCTGAAGGTGGGAGACTTGAGGCCAGGCCAGGAGTGAGGCTGAGTCAGGTCTCCAAGACTTGCCAACAGAGAGGTGTGGCTGCCCCACCCTGCAGGCACAAACAGCAGATAGGACAACTCGCTAGACTCTCTCTCGGCTCCAGCAAAGCCTGTCAGATCAGCCTAACATAACCTTTGCAACAGTCATCCCATGAGATCAGGACATGGGAAGAGAGAGGGAACTGCCTTCAGCGCAGCGTCCCAGATGGTCCCTGTCTGGTCCTGCAGATCCCAAATGGATGCTCTCGCTAGATCCAGGATCTCCAGCACGCTGGTGCTTTCTCTGTCTTTCTGCAGTGATGAGGTGCCTGGGGATCCCCACCCGTGTGATCACCAACTTTGACTCCGGCCATGACACGGATGGGAACTTGATCATCGATGAGTATTATGATAACACAGGCAGGATTTTGGAGAATATGAAGAAGGATACCGTCTGGTGAGAGACACCCTCTCAGCCTATTTCTTGAGCCACAGATCTGAGCCAAAAGCACAGGCAGGAAATAGGGCAGGACTGTGCTCAGCCTATGCCCCCACATCCTCCTGCTTCCCAGAGCTGAGACAGCAGAACAGAAAACAACGAAGGGGTTAGAATCTTCATATCATCAATGCTGTTAGATGGGAGTGGAGGTCCCCCTTGTCCTCCTTCTTCTAATAGCCTAAGGGTCTGACCACAGAAGTCTGACGTATCACTTGTGGACATGGCAAAGACTAGGGCTGCCTCTGTGGGACACACACACACACACACAGGGAGAAAGAGAGAGAGAGAGAGAGAGAGACAGAGAGACAGAGAGACAGAGAGACAGAGAGAGACGGAGACAGAGGAAGGGAGCCACCAGGCACCCTGTGAGAGATCTAGAGGAATCGTAACTTTAGTAAACTGGAAGCCTTCACTGTTCACACAGTCAGCAGAGAGATGCTCTGCAAACAAATAAAAGTTCACAAGAGGAAGATCTGTCCTTCCTCCCCCAAAGACACTTAAGTCCTGTGAGTCTGTCTTTCTGTAACCAGTTCACCTGCTTATCCTTGTCAGTCTAGAAAGGAAATAGGCAGGATAGCCCCGTCATAGGTGTATTTAACACCGACTTCCCCGGCTTTTCCTTAGGAATTTCCACGTGTGGAATGAGTGCTGGATGGTACGGAAAGACCTGCCTCCTGGATACGGAGGCTGGCAAGTGCTTGATGCGACACCGCAGGAAACCAGCAATGGTGAGGCTCTCTAGACAGGAGTCAGGACCCACCCTCACAGACCTGCCCCAGCCCCTGTCTTGTCCACCACATACTATCTACCAGAACCTTCCTCCCCATTTTTCTTCAGGTCTCTACTGCTGCGGCCCTGCTTCTGTCAAAGCCATCAAAGAGGGAGAAGTGGACCTAAACTATGACACGCCGTTTGCGTTTTCTATGGTGAATGCTGACTGCATGTCTTGGCTTGTCTACGGAGGGAAGGAGCAGAAGCTTCACCGGGACACAGCCACTGTTGGGAACTTTATCAGTACTAAGAGCATCCAGAGCGATGAGCGGGATGACGTCACAGAGAGCTACAAGTATGAAGAAGGTACAGTCGGGCCGCCTTCCTGAGAGCCTGAGTTCAGGGTACCATCCCCTGCCATAGCCCGGGGAGTCAGAGGCCATGATGCAGGGCAAGACCCAGGTTTGCCTCCTTAGTCATTCAGTTACAAGGATCCTGTCAGGCCGTTCCCGTTGCCTTACTTCTATCCACCATCACTTCATGTCCCACAGGCCAGAGACCTCCCTCCAGTGTGTTCTTATCTACCAGTCAGCCATGTATAGACATCTGACAACAGAATATGAGTTCTCCCAGCTTCTCAAAGCTCAGCCTCCTACCGAAGATGGCGATCAACTTAGTAAACTATTGGCAGATTTCGTTCATTTAACTTATCGTTTAGTTAATTGTGTTCGGTTGAGTGTTTAGGAGTCAGGCCAGATCACCAGCCAGCTTCCGCACTTTCGAAGACCCGTGTTCACCCTCATACTCACACATGGGACCAGCAGGACCAGAGGGTGTTGCCGAGGCCATAGCCCTCTCAGGGGCTTCTTGTCCAAGCCAGTAAGGCCAAAGGAGAGACCATGTTATCAGGTGTGAACTCCTGGAACAGACACCTGCCAGATTAACTTCTGGGAAGTCAAGCAAAGCTATCCATCCCTGAGGACCAGAATCGGGGTCTTCACTGCTGAAGCCAGGGAGTGTGATACCTTTTACTTTGCTTTTGGTTTTTTTGTTTGTTTGGTGTCTCTCTCTCTCTCTCTCTCTCTCTCTCTCGTTTTGTTTTTCAAGACAGGATTTTTCTGTATCTTTAGGACCTGTATTGGAACTCGCTCTGTAGACCAGGCTGGCCTTGAACTCACAGAGATCTGCCTGCCTTTGCCTCCAGAGTGCTGGGATTAAAGGAGTGCTTTGATAGGAATTCCATTGACTACATAAATCGCTCTGGGTTATATGGACATTGTTGACCATTTACTTCATTTTTACTATTTCACGGTTGCAGCAAACAAATCCAAGTACAAACAGGGTTTATTTTACATTACTACATTAACTGGATTTTTTTTTTCAAATGAATAGGGAATTCTATTCATACAGGAACAAACAATGGTGAATCTTGATGCATCCAGGGGCATAAAGCATCCAGGGTGGGGTAGGTGACAGGTTATAGTTACACACCATTGACCATAGGGCCTGGTAGGGCAGATATACATTCTGCTGCGCTTTAGGAGAAGGTGCTTATAAAAGAGAGTGGAGAGGGAAAATGATTTTCAGAAATTAGCAGGACTCACAGCCATAACAGCTTTTCCTCTGATGCCACCAATTCCTGGTATCTCAGGGTATAACTCCCAAAGCTGGGCTAAGGAAGGAACAAGGAAAAACAAGGGTATCTGGGTAAGTATGAGAGGCCACAGTGGCCTTCCAGGGCCACACACAGCAGGGGTGAATGGCGATATGGCCTGACTGGACCCTGAACATGTGACTAGTCTAATGAGCCCACGAGGTACAGTACAAATCCACCAGACCAAGGGACTGGGATGGGGAAGGGGAGTACTCAGCATCATGGGCTGAGCTAGCTTGGGCAGCTGGGAGGTGCCTCTCAGAGGCCAGGAGCCTGGAGCCTGCCCTTCCATGAGCAAGTACATCAGAGGTAACTGTTTATAATCAGAACTGGGGGAGGACATGGCTCTCCCTGGACTCCCTGAGTCCCAGGTGCAGACCCATGGAAAACCCAGGAAAGATCATGGGAGTAGGAGGCAGGGAGCTGGACAGGGTCTACTGGGTATTCTTGTCTTCTGCAGGGTAGTAGGGTGGTGGTGGAGGCTGTTCATGTTCATGTAGCCATTATGGGTTGCCTGAGTTGTAATAGGCACTAACAGCTATTTCTGTGACCTTGGCCTCAACTACAGGAGCAAAGGGAATGTTGGAGCCTCAGATTGGAGATACCATGGGCCCAGGTTAGGGTGGTAACAGGTTTTAGGCATCCAGGACCCCATCCATCGTGGGGGAGACTAAACATAACTCAAGTAAAAGTGGTAGATAGCTGGGGTACATTCCATTGACTACCAGTATGGGGGAAGGCATGGGCCCTGCTGGGCATGTTAGAGTACCCATAGGCTCCATTTGGGGTCTTCACCTCTGGAGACTTAAGATGCCACCTGAGTATCTACTCTCCAAACTCAATGGCATCATCGAGTTTCATCGCTTCATCGCTATTTTCTTATTGAAGTCTCCATGGAACACTGGCTGCTTGAACTCACGGTTCTTCATCACCAAGGACTGCCTTCATCACGAAGGACTGCTTTCTTCCCATTAGACAAAAAGATGGCCATTAAGGGATAAGGCAGATGGTGCCATTCTTGGTCCCTTTGAAGGCCTCTTGCATGTTCTTCATGTCATTAAATGTAAGAGCCACACGATCAGAGGACATTAGGATGGTCCTAGTGTTGTTGATGGTCATTCCCATGACTTCTGAGCGAATCTTGTCAAACTCCACAGTCTCTGAAGGGTTCTTAGTATAGGCTTTTTAACAGTACTGTTCTTCTAGCCCATAGCATGAGATATCTTCCCACTTTTTTCTATCTTCAATTTCTTTCATCAATATTTCATAATTTATAATAGAGATCTTTCACTTCTTTGATTAAATTTATTCTTAAGTATTTCTTAAAAGGCTAAATAAAATCAGGTTGCTTTCTTAATTTCTGTTCTGATAATTCACTGTTAGCATATTGCAATGCAATTAATTTTGTAAAGATTTGTTTTATGTTTATTTATATGTATGTATGTGCATGTGTGGGTGGGTACTCTTAAAGGCCAGAAGAAAGCATTCGATCCCTCAGAGCTGAAGCTACAGGCGGTTGTACTCCATTGATTTTGCATCTTGTAGTTTTGTTGGTGGAGGGGCTGAGGGTAGAATGTTCAGCTAAGGCTTACCTCCTGGGTCAGCCTGACCATGCTGATACTGTATCTATCTGTCCTTCCAGGTTCCCTTCAAGAGAGACAGGTGTTCCTAAAGGCTCTACAGAAGCTAAAGACTGAAAGGGCTCCAGGACCCCATCAAGGAGACTCAAATTCCTTCAGCTCTGCGCCACGAAGGCAAGATAGTTCTAGGAGCCTGGATACACCTTCCCTTCGACCCAGCGATGTCATCCAGGTCTCTCTGAAGTTTGAGCTGCTTGACCCACCCAACATGGGCCAAGACATAAACTTCGTCCTGTTGGCTGTCAACCTGTCACCTCAGTTCAAGGATCTCAAACTCAATTTGAGTGCCCAGTCTCTGTTGCACGATGGCAGCCCCCTAGCCCCATTCTGGCAGGATGTCGCATTTATTACACTGTTCCCTGAAGAAGGTACATGCATAGTTCTCCTGCAGCCCTTTCTCTCCCCTCTTTTCCTTCTTCTCTCTCCCTTCTTCCTTCCTCCTGCTGACCCCTGAGGAAAGCAGCCCACCTGTTGGTAAAACCCTGAGCTTTGGAGTCATCTAGACTTTGGACCTAGGAATGATTCTGGGCAACCTA